TATATATATTGTAACTGTTATGCTTTCAAGGTTTGAAATGTTCATGAATTTGGAATATGTTCCCTGAAAATGCTAGTGAGGTTAGGTTTAGTGCCTCCAAACATCTTGAGTCTTTTGAATTTGATAACCATAACCAGTGTCGGGGAAAGTCACTTTTAAAAGTAATGCATTATAATATTGCGTTGCTCAGTTAAATTTTATGGAAAGTAATGCTTTCAGTGAATGAAAGTGTCAGTGAATAAATGGAAAAACAAAGTAACATGCGTTACTTATTTGAAAAAGTAACTCGGATATTTTCTTATACATTTAAAAGTAATGCATTACTTTACTAGTTACTTGAAAAAAAAGTAATCTGATTACATAACTCGCGTTACTTGTAATACATTACCCGAACACTGACCATAACCCTAACATATTTGTTCACTGTGACAATTTATTCAGATTACATATGCCATTAGGCAGTGACAAATGGGTGTTTTTTTATGTTATGACTTACTGAAATGATTTGTCTTATGCTTTAGTGTTTTCCACTCAAATTAGAACAATGTGCATCTATTTTTTCTTCATTGTGTGAAATGCTGAGCATGAAATTTGATCTCCAAGGGCCTTTTTTTCTTTTCTGCAGTTGCAGTGCTAGTCGTGACCTGCCTTTGAACATCAGACCATCAAACCAGCAAAATGACATGCAATTACCAACACTCTGCTGTATCTGCAGGTTCTGACAGCTATCCAATAAACAAACAGCGTTTATGGTAAATGAAAGAATTTATTATTTAGAAGTTTCTTTCATGTCCTCCTCCATCCGCCCATTCAAAATTGACTCAATGGCCATAAGTGACAGAGACTTGAGACTTAATTTTCACATTTCATTTTTACTTAACACAGTTTGAAAAAAATTAACGCTCTTCCTCACAGTTTATAACTAGCGGTCTCAGAAAAACAAACAAACAAAAACTTTATGCAGTGTACACATTTGAAAATGTTCATCGTAAATTAAGGTTAATCATTTAGAGCAGGTTAAATCTAAACTTTGCAGGGCTCCGGCCCTCCAGGAATTGAGTTTGACACCCCTGAGTTAGAGCATGTTGAGGGTTCATTTTTGGTTCATCTTACATAAATGATGAAGATGGTGAATTTGTCAGTGACATTCAGTGTCATCCCTTCCATCATGCTGTACATCTGGTTCTGCAGATAGTCTGCCACTGTTTTGTGCTTTTTTGCGCACTGAGAAACTCTCAGAAAAAGCAGATACATACATATGTCTTCTCTTTCAAATGCTTCTAATCCGTCTTGCTGCACTGCCACAGAGAGTTCAGCAAAAATGTGCCTCTGTAATTGCTAGCTTGTGGCATGGAAATTCTCTAGTACTGAGTACCAAAACTGCATCATTGAAGGTCATCTCCAAAGTGTCCAGTGGTGCACAGCACAGATGCTTCTCTGCAAGTTTCTCATGTCCCATGTAAGTCACTGGAAATTTTGCTCAAGGTCTTTCTGACCTGTCTGACCTCTAACTGCATGACACAAAATGGATTAAGGGATTATTTCTGTTCTTCCCTGACATGTTGCTTGCATTGTTGCCCCCTACAACTAGAAAAGTCACACCCAAGACTGTTAACCATAGCCAGAATGCACTCATGAAAGAGGTCTAAGGTGGAGTTTGCGATTACAGAGAGTATGCTTTTTATCCCCTCGGCAATGGTTTGCTTGAATTCCCCACTCATTAGCAGAATAAACTCTTCACACATGGTCGATGATAAATACATTTTGTGGGATCAGTTAGAAAATAAGTGACATGAGGGATGAGGGTGGTGGTGGGCGTAGTGTCCTGCCTACCCAAATATTCCTTAACGCCGTATTTCCCGAGAAAGTCACCAACCCCCAAGAAAACAACTTAAAACACATGCATTGTCCCTATACCCCAATAACATGCTGCTGGAACCAGGCCTGAGAAGTGAAATATCTTTTGCCTAATGTATCAAGTTAATTAAACAAAATAAACGTGCACTTCGGCCAGTGCTTCAGTGCTTGTATTGAAATATTTGATATGCTACCATGATAAAACTGGGGGAGATTTTTGGGAGGAAGCAGCACTGGTAGAAACTCTTTGAGCTCCTGCAAGCTCCTTTTATGACAGTAGCAGTGTTGGGGAAAGTTACTTTTAAAAGTAATGCATTACAATATTGCGTTACTCCATAAAAAAGTAACTAATTACGTTACTTAGTTCCTTTTTATGGAAAGTAATGTGTTACGTTACTTTTTAAATCTGGACAGAGCTTGCTTGTTTGTTTTTAAAATAAAAAAGTTATATTTTTGGATTTGTGCTTATTAGTACGGTTGAACTGGATCATCGAAGGTCAGAAGCAAAGACATTGGTTAATAGAGTGGGATTAAATACATAAAGGATATTTGTGTTGTTTAACATTTAATTATTGCAGGTTTGCATCATATTCTGAGTTGCATTATTTTTATTCATTTTGAGGAATACTGAATCTGTGTTTTTTTGGCCGAGATACAACTATTTGAAAATCTGGAATCCGAGGGTGCAAAAAAATCTAAATAATGAGAAAATCGCCTTTAAAGTTGTCCAAATGATATCCTTAGCTATGCATATTACTAATGATAATACATTTTTGATATATTTACGGTAGGAAATTTACAAAATATCTTCATGGAACATGATCGATATCCTAATGATTTTTGGCATAAAAGAAAAATCGATCATTTTGACCCATACAATGTATTTTTGGCTATTGCTACAAATATACCCGTGCTACTTATGAATGGTTTTGTGCTCCAGGGTCACATATGCGGGTCAAAGATGAAAAGCGGTTTTCAATCATCAAAACAATAAAAGTTTAATAAAGCTTTATTTTTTCGTACATTAGAATGTGTCCCGTTTAATAATAATAATTATTATTATTATGATTACTATTATTATTTTCTGAGCAAAAAAAAAAAATTACTATCATATATTTTTAACAAGATTTACAGGGGGAAAAAATCAGTCATTGTAACGGCTTGTATAGCCTAGCTACCAAAAATGATTGTCAGAAAAATTTTGAACAAGAATCATTAGATGACATTAAAATACTTTAATTCAGGATCACAGTGTACTATCCTTCAAACCACTAGGTTTTGTCAGCAATAAGTGTTTAATCATTTAAAATATAATAATAAATATAATAAATGTAGTATGATAACTTATTATTTTATATTTTCAATTATTTTATGTTAACTTATTTTAAGTACAGGTCAGAATAAGTATGTTGTTTCATTTTGACATAAATATAAATCTGTTACGCTGATAACGATGGAACATTATTTCACCCATATTTTGACATTGTATTTCCACAAAAGTTATTTGAAACTTTAAAGTAGACACTTTAGTTGCTTTTAAAGTGCTGTGTGTGTGTGTGTGTGTGTGTGTGTGTGTGTGTGTGTGTGTATATACACACACACTTTTGTAAACTGAATTTGGTCAACAAAATGGGACATCTCGTCTTTGACCCATGCATGGATTTATATGCAAAAATGTAATGTAGCTTAAGTACGTTTTTATAGGTTTTTTTTTTGTTTTTTTTTTATAAAATGGAAAGCAATTGTATTATAGTGAAGAGAACACATTTTAGATTAAAGTTTATAGTTATTTTCCCTAACTGACACTTATCACACTGACACTTACTAACTGAATATTCTTGTCTATTCAGCACATCACAGTTAAGCAGAGAGGGCAAGAGCCTCGACCGCGACGCTGCCGTACAGATGCTACTTTATTCACATGCCCCTTCTGCACAACTGATGTATGTAAGCCAAGACAGTACCATCAAATAATGACCCATATAGCTGGCCATAAACTGAGAGCGGTTGAATATGGAGGTGAGTGTGTGAGCATACAGTTTCTTTGTTAGCAGTAGTTAACATGTTATAAACTAATAATGAGAAAAATATTTTTGGTTGTATGTGGAGGTGAGTGTGTGAGCATAGTTTCTTTATAATAAGGTAGTAATAGTTAACTAACATATGTTAGGAACTAAGTGTGAAAAGTGTTTTTACATCATCCATTATGCCTGGTCAATATTGTGCTAATACAAATGTGCTCAAACCTCTGTTTTAGATAATGTTATATACAGCTGTAACATTGGCTGTGGCAAAAAGGCCAAACATTTTCACTGTTGCCAGTGTCCCAAGACTTACATCAATAAAGGTGACCTAAAACAGCATCTTTCCAGTGCTCATCCAATAGCTACTTGCACTCCAGGACCACAACGTGTAAGTCACCCACTACAAGAACCTCCTTCACAGCAACAACCAGCACCTCATCCACCACCAGAACCTCCTTCACAGAAACAACCAGCATCTCAACCACAATAACTTGATTTGCTGCAAGCAGCACCTCCAGCGATTGAGAGAAAGCAGATCTCTGTGCAGGGTCCTAGTAGGGTGAGTCTGAATTCCAAAAACATTAGAAATACATTGAGTGGATAAATCATGAAGCCATGCAACGTGTCAACAATAGGATTTACTGAGCAAAAGTATGTTCGAAATTTCACCAAATATAATGTTATATCTTTTGGTATAAGTGTGCTAATAGGGAATGGCAGTTCACACTTCCAGACATTCCTTTTGTCGTTATTTGTAATAATCCAGTGAAATTTTTGTATGCGCGTGATTCTGGCAACATACACAGAGATATGATCTCACCATCATTGAGTCGGTCTGTGATTACATGAAGAGACAAAAAATTAGATAACTAAATCCATAAGAACTGTGAGAACATCTCCAAGATGCTTGGTGAATTCTACCTGTGAAGCTACAGTACTGTGAAAAGTTTGAATCACGTGTGCAAAAGTGCTGTAATGTAAGGATATTCTCAAAAATGAAGTCATAAATAGATTGTATTTATCAGATAAGTTATAGTAACTAACAAAAAATCTCACTGGTTCATTACAGTTAATGGCACTATGAATGTTTAGAAATGCAAAGTGATATTTCCCACTGGCGCACTAAAGCAAAAGATAAAAATAACTTTCTTATGTAACATGCCTCACTGTAAAGTATTGTATGTGGTATTAGTGGGCAAAAAAATATGCAAAACAAAACAGGGCGTTTCCCAATCATTGGGTGTTTTCAATCCAACATGGGTGTTTGCAACCGCTTTAACCGAATTGTTTAAATCAAGTGGACTGTTCCTGACACACTTCTCTTTTCAACTGTCTTTATGACAGAAAGTGATTTGAAAAAGTGAAGAAACACTAAGACAAAGCACCTGCAGATGAGTGTAAAGGGATTGTTTATAGTTTTGACTAAATTGTGTGACTTTGCTTGCTAGATGCCCAGTTAATTATAAAAAGCATGGACTATCTAGCATTAAAGGGGTCATATGATGCGATTTCATTTTTTCCATTTATTTTACTCAGATGCAATAAACTTCACTGCTGAAGTATTCGTTATCTCAATTCTTTGTTGCAAATTCTCTCCATGCATCACAACCGTTGATTGACTTCATAGCACCATTACAATCAGATCACTTCACCGTGGCACCGTAAAACTACAAAGAAAACAAATAAATAAACAAACAAAAAAAAAGAAAAAGAAACTATTTTAACTAAACATATTTAACATTCAAATTAATCAACAATATTGTACCAAGAAAATACATGACAAAACAAACAAACAACCAACCTCGCTCTGCTTGCCGAAGGGATACTAAAAGCTGAAAGCTCAAATCATTCTCCCAAGCTGTACCGGTTAGCTCGTGAGCAAACGTGGATTATTACTCTTACTCTGCTTCGCCTCACTTTTATCCTATACGTTTATTACTCCCTCTCTAGTGGTAACGCCAAGCAAAGCGAGTTAAAGGGGAAGGTCATTACACTCCCACCAAATCATGTTATGATAAACCCCCAAAAAAACAAATACATAATTTCAAACTTCTATAACCCCTTTTCAACACAAAACACATAACAAAATAATAATAATAATAATAATTTTAACCTGGTATTACGTAATTGTCTGATGCAAAAACTATATCAATGAATCACTCACTTTCAAGTAGAACCACTAATTTTTGAATTGGTCGCTCAATGATTGAAGGTTTAGAGTGATGCCCTAACTTCGTCTTTAGTTTTCGTTCTCCTGTTTGAACTTTAACTCGTCGGACTAAGCCATCGCTCCCTTGAATGACCTCAACAACTCTACCTAACTGCCACTGATTCCTTGGCAGCATGTCATCTTTAATGATGACTATGTCATTAACTTTAAGATTACGTCGAGGTACATGCCACTTCTGTCGTGTAGATATATTCATGAGATATTCTCTTTTCCAACGACTCCAGAACTGTTCAATTAAGTACTGGACTCTGCGCCACCTTTTTGTAGCATACATGTCTTCCTTCAGAAATTTCCCAGGAGAAGGAAGAGCGATCTTAGACTTCATTAAGATAAGATGGTTTGGTGTTAAAGGTTCCAGTGACTTGGGGTCATTTATTCCATCTACGGTTAATGGTCGACTGTTAACGGTAGCCATCGCTTCATAAAACAATGTCCTAAGAGAGGAGTCATCGAGCCTGCCCGAGCACTGAGAAAGCATGGAATTCAGCACATTTCGCACAGTCCTGATTTGGCGTTCCCAGACACCACCAGAGTGACTAGCTGAAGCAGCGTTAAAGACGAACTCACATTGATTTTCTATAAGAAATGCCTCCAGTGTCTTGACATCACATTCTTTAAGAGCTTCTTGAAGTTCGTTTCTAGCTCCTACAAAATTTGTGCCACAATCACAATAAAGTTGACGAACAGCTCCACAGAGGCTTATGAAACATCTCAGAGCGTTAATAAACATGTCTGTTCACAAATCGTCCAGCATTTCGATATGGACGGCTCGAGAAGAAAGGCAAGTGAAAAGAAGGCCATACCTTTTATACTCCTTTCGACCCCTCTTTATAATGAATGGGCCAAAGCAATCCATGCCAGTATAGCAGAAAGGGGCAGAGACTTCAATTCGTTCTTTAGGAAGTTCCGCCATTTGTTGCTCCTCCACTGGCCGTCTGGGCTTCCTACATTGTACACATCGGTAAATCAATTTAGCTACCGACTTGCTGCCGCCGATAACCCAGAATCCATTTGCTCTGAGTTCCATAAGTGTTTGATACCTCCCTTGATGGCAAATTTTAGTGTGATAGTGCGTTAAAATAAGGTTGGTAATGTGACTGTCTTTTGGCAAAATCACTGGATGCTTGACCTCTTCACTAAGAGATGACTGTTTCAACCTTCCTCCAACAGGAAGCAGATCTCCTTTCAAAATAGGATTGAGATGAAAAAGTGCACTTGATTTCTGAAGCACCTTCCCTCCTTGAATTGTTCTTATCTCCTGGGAAAATGCCTGTTTTTGAACAAGCTTAACCAGAACCTCAAATGCTCTTTCATGCTCTTTCACAGTCACAGTGTCGTTAAGACATTGCTGCCTTGAGGCTAGCCTTTTTATTCTAGCGTTCACGTTGATGAGAGTTCTCAAAGAAGAGAAGTGACTAAACCGCTCAAGAAAGTCAGAACTAATGTCACCCTTAGTCACAAATGTTTGTACTAGCTTAACTTCAGGATCTCCCACAAGTAGATCATTTGAGGCGTTAGGAGTTGGACACACTTCTCGTTCCCACAAAAATGCAGGTCCTGATATCCAGTTTGTTGAAGATATGTCTGAGACCTCTGGAAACATGATCAGCAGGATTTTCAGATGTGTTAACATAATACCAGTGGCTTGTGTTCGTGATTTCCCTGATTAACTGGACGCGATTTGCAACAAACACGTGAAACCTTCTTGCTTCATTGTTAACATATGCTAGTACAACCTGCGAGTCAGTCCAAAAGTACTCTTGATCGATCTTCATTCCCAGTTCAGCCTTTAACATAACACTCATCCTGGCAGAAACTACAGCAGCAGACAATTCCAGTCTTGGAATACTTTTGATCTTTGTGGGTGCGACTCGAGCCTTAGCCATTACAAGACTACAGTGAACTTCGTCTTTGTCGTTCTTGAACCTCAAATAGGAACATGCACCATACCCTACGTTGCTTGCATCTGAGAAATGGTGCAGTTCTGTCCAGACAATGGTGTCAAAAAACGGCAGATGATAGCATCTTGGGATGCTGAAATTTTTCAGACCATGAAAACTATTTTTCCACTCCTCCCACTGCAGGAATAAGTCATCAGGGAGAGGATCATCCCATCCAATATTTCTACAACACAGCTCCTGTAAAATACACTTTCCTTTCAAAAGGAAAGGAGCAACAAACCCAATAGGGTCATACAAAGAAGCAACAATTGACAAAATACCTCTACGTGTTGAAGGCTGATCTTTCAGCTTGATGTCAAAACTGAATGTGTCATCTTTCGTAGACCACTGGATGCCAAGAACATACCCTGTTACTTCAGGACTAAGGTTAAGCGGTTTGGTTGTTATTGCCCACTCTGAAGAATCCACACACTGTAGAACTTCTTTCTCATTTGAATTGAACTTATGAAGGCGTAACCCTCCATACTTGCACAAGGTTTGAGCTTTGACAATTAACTCCTTCGCTTCCTGAATCGATGGAACTGAAATCAAGCCGTCATCCACATAAAAATTCTTCTTCACGAAGGTTGAAGCTATAGGATACTCAGACTTATACTTCTCTGCTAGATATTTAAAACCAAAGTTGGCGCACCCAGGAGATGAAGCAGCGCCAAAAAGATGCACAGTCATTCTATATTCTTGGAGTTCTCCTTCCAAATCTCCATTCTCCCACCATAAGAATCTCAAGTAATTTCTTTCATCAGGAGGCACATGGAATTGATGGAACATCTTTTCGATATCTCATGTCACAGCAACAGCTTCCTTCCTGAACCTGCAAAGTACTCCCACCAAAGAATTGATCAAATCTGGACCAGTGAGAAGAGTGTCATTTAGAGAAATGCCACAAAATTTTGCAGAGCAATCAAATACCACCCTCAACTTGTCTGGCTTGTGAGGGTGGTAAACACCATGATGTGGTATATACCACACTGTTTCCCCATCAGATGTTACAGGAGCTATTTCTGCATCTCCCTTGCTGAACATTTCTTCCATAAAGGTTTTATACTTATCGTAATACTGTTGGTTTGACTTCAACTTCTTTAGGTGCTGCAAACGTACCATAGCAAGCTTCTTGTTATTAGGGAGGGAAGGAAGACTGCTGCTCTTGAAAGGAAGGGGCAACTGAAAATGTCCATCTTCTTTAAGTTTGATGTTATCACTAAGAAGGCGTATAAAGCGGACATCTTCCTGGGACACATATTTGTCCTCATAGCACTTCTCATTAAAGTCTAATTCTAAAACCTTTAGGACATCATTAGCTGATGGAACTGGCATCTCTTTCACGGAGACTCGATGAACAAAACTTTGACTTCCTTGTCTATCCAGGTGGGGATTACAAAGGCCTATGATGCTCCGACCCAGTTCTGTTTTCTGTGCAAAAGGCTCATTTTCATTGCCGATAATAACCTCTAAAGGAGCCAATGCTGAAGGACAGTCGTATCCAATCAACAATCCTATATCACAGCTCTGGAGTGGTGGCAACTCATTTGCTATGTGCTTAAGATGAGGCCATTGCAACGCAGTCTTTCTAGTTGGAATGTGAGCTTTGTCCACAGGAATAAAGTCACATGTATAGGCTTGATGTACTTGAATACGTTTTCCACCTTGGAGCCCTCGAACTCGCAAGCCACTAACCTTATTACTTGTAGTGACTATCTGTGGTCGTCATAGTACTGAGTCTCAGCTTCACTGCTTGACTGCTTACTTGGAGTTCATCAAGAAAATCCTTCAGAATAAAAGTTGTGTCACTCTGTGTATCAAGTAAAGCATAAGTAAGAATCTCATTTTGTGGCTCTTTCATTGTTGAAATAAAGACAGGAACAATACTAGAGGTAGCAGAGGCCCGTTGTGTTACTGCATGAGATGTAACCCTTTGAACTTCTTGACTTGTATGCGCTTCTGTAGAAGTAACATCTATTCTTGATACCTTCACAGATCCTTTGTCTTTATCTTCATTCAAGCAAGTTGGATGGCGCAAGCCACGTGCCACAAATATGCCGTCTTTTGCAGTCTCTAGAAATATGCCCCCTTCTCAGACATCCAAAACAGATGTAATTCTCACGAATAAAAGACCTTTTGTCCTCTATGGGCTTTTCTGCAAAAATAGGACATTTAGCGATATTATGTGCTTCGCTCTTACAAACAGAACATGGTGATGTTATCTTAAATTCTGGCCTTGTTGAATCTTTAACTTGGGCCTTTATGTTGAAAGCTTTGGCTCTTTTAGGAAATTTCTCATCTGAAACCTTAAACCTTGTTAAAAGTGAAGAAGTGAAAGGATTGCAAGCTATCTTGGACTCCTTCTGCAAGAATTCTGCAAATCGCTTAAAGCTTGGATAATCACCAGTCATGTCCAACTTTTCAACCACAATTTTGTTCCATTTGCGCACGATCCACTCTGGTAATTTCTTGAGTAATTTATAATTTTCCTCACAATCATTCAAAATAACCAAACCTTTAACATGTGGAATAGCTTCAACACAACCTTGTAAGAAATCAGTGAACTCTCGCAAGGAAAGTGGATAATTTGCTCCCACCTTAGGCCATCTCATAAGTTTTTCTCGAAAGGCTCACTGAACAATAAAGGAATTTCCATACCTCTCCTCAAGGACCCTCCAGGCGCCCTGATATGCGTCTTCAGAGTTCCTATAAAAGAACCCTTCCACAGCCTTATGAGCTTCTCCAGCAAGATAGGTTTTCAAATAAAACATTTTCTCACTCTCTGCAATTGATTTACTATCAATAAGTGCAGTGAAAGACATTTTCCAATCGATGAACTTCAGAGGATCACCAGTGAAAGTTGTTGGTTCTGGGACAGGTAAACGACTTAAACTTAAGGAGTTTACTAGTACTTGGGATAAATTCAATGTCTCTCGAGTCTCTTGAGTCGTCCTTACATCTTGAAATACACGTTGAGAATGGAATGACTTTACCTGAGGATTCTGCTGAGATTTATTTTCAGCCTCTCTCCATCCAGACGGAGTTGCATTACCTCTCTCCTCTTCATCTTCAAGATCGCTCTCACAATTGTTGTAGGCCTTCACTCGAGCTGCAGCTACCTTAACTTCTTTATCTGCTTGTAGCATCTGCAGCTTTGTCCTTTCTTCCTCTAGTTTTGAGCGCATCTCTATTTCTTTCCGTTTCATCTCAGCTAGCATTCTTGCTTCGTTCAGTTTCCAATCATTCTCTATCTTAAGTAGTCGGGCTTGCTGATTGTGAATTTCTTGCATAGCCTTCACTTGCTCGACTTTGGCTGCGAGTTCTGCTTCTGCATCAGCTCGCTTACTGGAAGCTTTGGAAGAGGTCTTTGATATAGTTAATAAACTCTCCGAAATCTGTGATGACTCTGAGATGATAGTCTCTGTATTGGTACAACCAAATATAGATTCATACTCATCTTTATTTAATATCTGCCTTACTCTCTCTTTCACAACTTCTTTCTTCTGAATCTCATCAACAGTTTCTATTCTTTTGCTCACCAAATCACAAATTTCTGCAGTCAGTGTGGAACAAACATCTATTCTCTTAACAACCTCTGGAGTTGCAGTATTATTGCGCAGTAAGGGAGCATAATGCTGAATGACTACATCTTGTCTAGTTTGAATGTCCTTTAAAATTTGTTCAAGCTCTTCACATGTGCACAAAGCTTTTAATTTAGACCTAACTTCCTTAGCTATCTGCTTCCAGGAGTCGTAAGCTTTATTAAAGGCTTTCTCATGCTTCTTTGCCTCCTGTTCATGCATCTCTTGGCCTTTCTCTGTGCGATTTCTTTTCCGAGAACTTGATCTTGATCTTTCTTGTTGCATTATATTGGTGTCTAAATCCTTATCAGGAACTGACTTTTAACTTGCTTGCACTACCGTTTGCTCGACTGTGTCTTCCATTTTGTCAGTCTACAACTTACATCAAACTTACGTCAAAACTTATAATCTAGACACTTAAATATTTAGCAAAGGGAATAAGTCAAATCATATATGCAACACACTTATAAATTCCTTGACACTCAACACTTTGGCATGTTTATGTTACATATACCATAAGTAAACCCAGCATTAAACTATGGCAATCAATACCTTGTAAATGAATACTCAAGTCAATAACTTTACCTTCATTAATCAATAGTCACCTTCATTCATAAAATTTGATATAAAATTGCTTACAAAATTAACTTACAACACTACAAAATCTCTTTAATTAAAAAAAGTTTCGACTTAATGCAAAAGCTATAACCACTTTTTTTTTTTTTTTTCCCTCAGAGTCTGTACCAACAATGTTGATTTGCAGTCACCTTTCAGTCATTCACAAATGAGGAGTATTCCAAGTTGTTGACTGTATAATGTTGCAGTCCTATCATGGAATCGGTCTCTTACTGACGCGATGCAAACAAGGTGGCACGATGAAAGCATTCGCTGCAGCATCAAGTCCCACTCATGCGAGGAAACAACAGCCAAGCGATGAAGTCGTCATCTTTAGCAGCGAGTTTTACTGTAGCAGCCCTTCAGCGTCGAACAAAAAGAGGCAGAGAGTTTCTGACTGGTGCCTTCCATTTATTTTACTCCGATGCAATAAACTTCACTGCTGAAGTATTCGTTATCTCAATTCTTTGTTGCAAATTCTCTCCATGCATCACAACCGTTGATTGACTTCATAGCACCATTACAATCAGATCACTTCACCGTGGCACCGTAAAACTACAAAGAAAACAAATAAAGAAACAAACAAAAAAAAAGAAAAAGAAACTATTTTAACTAAACATATTTAACATTCAAATTAATCAACAATATTGTACCAAGAAAATACATGAGAAAACAAACAAACAACCAACCTCGCTCTGCTTGCCGAAGGGATACTAAAAGCTGAAAGCTCAAATCATTCTCCCGAGCTGTACCGGTTAGCTCGTGAGCAAACGTGGATTATTACTCTTACTCTACTTCATCTCACTTATATCCTATACGTTTATTACTCCCTCTAGTGGTAACGCCAAGCAAAGCGAGTTAAAGGGGAAGGTCATTACAATGTTCTTTTTAGCAACGTCATATGACCCCTTTAAGTATTATTAGTTAATTTTAGCTAGCTGTTCAGTGAATCTAGCTCTTTAGCTGTGAAACCAATTGTGATAATGGTAACTTGCATAACCCTTTCCAGATGGTATATTCTTATTGCATTTAAAAATAACAATGACTTTAGCTAGTTAGCTTTCTAGACTAGCTTTCTAGGCACTATATAATGTAACTTGTTAAATTAATCAATTGATTACACCATGAAACAATTTTTATTAAGTTGTTTTGCTTTTATTTTTAATGTTTATTTATGAAGTTTGACATGCTGAATACAAAAATCACATGACTTTGTGTGTATCATTAACAGTGCTCATGAAAACTAAAAAAAATATATGTTTTACCGCTTATACAAGCTAATCTGTTATCACTCATACATAAGAATTACATGGTACATGCATAATACTGAGCTAACAACAGTTTGACATAAACAATTACCAAAGGTGAGTCGTCTTCAGAAGTGTATGTTGGATGATTTTTGTATTTTATGACTAGTCCCACAATGTTCTGGAATGTTCCAGAGTGTACTAGAATATTACAGATTGTTATAGGAACTTCTAGAATATTCCCATCCTTGCAAAAGCAAAATATCTTTAAAAAAAACATGCAAAATTAGTAGAAAAACTTGTCTGCACTAAACCAATGTTTTAGAATTAATGATTAATTAAGTTCTAAAATTGACCTGACCTAAATATTTACCAAAATATTGATGCTTCGTGAAAAAAAGTACAATAATAATTAACCCCATAGAATTACAGAAGAACCATAAAAAATTGAAGTGAAACCATTTTTTTTTACATTGTGTTATTGTTTTCTAATAAAAAATATGAAGTAATGGTAATATACATTGGGGAAAACATTTCAGATTAAAATTTATAGACATTTTCTCTTGAGGGTAACTGACTTTTTTTTTTCTTGTCTATTCGGCACATCACAGTTAAGCAGAGAGGGCAAGAGCCTCGACCGCGACGCTGCCGTACAGATGCTACTTTATTCACATGCCCCTTCTGCACAACTGATGTATGTAAGCCAAGACAGTACCATCAAATAATGACCCATATAGCTGGCCATAAACTGAGAGCGGTTGAATATGGAGGTGAGTGTGTGAGCATACAGTTTCTTTAGTAATACTTCATAATATTGTGGGAAGAGTTCAAGAACAAACATAAATAACAAAAATTATGAACGGTAAAAAAAAAAAAAACATTTTTACAGCATTAATTATTCTTGGTCAATGTTGTGCTTATACAAATGTGCTCAAACCTCTGTTTTAGATAATGTTATATACAGCTGTAACATTGGCTGTGGCAAAAAGGCCAAACATTTTCACTGCTGCCAGTGTCCCAAGACTTACATCAATAAAGGTGACCTAAAACAGCATCTTTCCAGTGCTCATCCAATAGCTACTGGCACTCCAGAACCACAACCTGTAAGTCACTACAAGAACCTCCTTCACAGAAACAACCAGGCACCTCATCCACAAGAACTTGATTTGCAGCAAGCAACACCTCATCCACAAGAATTAGCAGCTTGTCCAGCGATTGAGAGAAAGCAAATCTCTGTTCAGTTTCCACATAGGGTGAGTCTGATTTCTAAAAATTGAAATACATTGAGCTGAATGACTATCTAGCATTAAGTATTATTGGTTAACATTAGCTAGCTATTTAGTGCATCTCGCTATTTGGCGCTTTAGCTATGAAACCAATGGTGATGCAGGTAACTTGCATTTAAAATATCAAAGGCTTATCCAGTCTAACCTTAGCTAGTTATCTAGGCTGGAGTTCTAGGCCCTACATAATGTAACTGTTGAAATAATGAATTAGTTAAATGAATTAATCTAGTATAAATATGAAGCAATGGTAATATACATTGGGGAAATACATTTTAGACTAAAATTTGTAGGGATGCAACGATACCACTTTTTTCAGAAAAAGTCCGATACCGATACTTTAATTTTTAGTACTCGCCGATACCGATACCTATACCTGTATTTTCACAGCATTTGTAATTTTTTTTTAAATATTGGGTACAAAAACAAAATAATAGTAATAATATGAATCATGTTATTTGGCTTTATTTAGCAAACAGATATTACCTTCAGTTATTTCCACACTTAATTATACCTGTTAAAATGTATTGTATACGCTTTTGTTACTTTCACTGTTCATTTTAATGGCGCATTAGAGCTGCTCCATTGCAGCAGCTCAATACTGTAATCACAAAACGTTTTCCTAAAATAATGCGGGGAACCACTCGTTATACATTATACGAGTGCACGCGTACTATTTTGGTGATGTAATTTGCGTCACGCGCAGTGTACACGGACCCTCGCGTACAAGTAAAAACCGAAGTATACTTTGGCCTTAAAGCATGCTAAACATACGCAGCACGCACACGTTTGTATTGGTGCAGAATGAGAGAGACACTTACAGCCTAGCGCATTTCACCCAGTCTGCTAGTTTCACTTCTGCTTTAATTAAATAAAGTTGTGTATGCTTGACGTTTAAAATAAATGCTGTTTATTGTGAATGCCCCTATAATTTTAGTTTGTTTTATATTTAGGATTTAGTTTTAATCCAAATGCATGCGCTAATGGAGCAAAAAGCAATCAAGATCATGCAACAGAAGTGCTCTCTATCTCTCTCTCTCTCCCCTTACCATCAAATAACTTTAGTAACTTGTGCATTGTTTTACTTACTTGCTTTTGACATATCCGACCGAACTACAAATTTTCCAGTGATGTCTGTGAGATATTCACTCAACAAGCTTGCGCATCTGTGCAGCCACGCGCTCTGCTTTTCAGCTCGGGCACATCCGCTATACAGGCGTGAATATTGAATGTTTAACATTATATTAATTACTTACATGTACTTCATAGACATCCTTAATCTCTAATAACTCCATTCTACTCTGTTGTTCTGTTTTCAGTGTTTCTTTTTCTGGACACAGCTCTATTCACACGCTGTTTTGTATCGGCTTTTGGTATCGGGGCATTTTTATGAGTACAGGAGCGCAGTATTGGGCCCGATACCGATACCAGTATCGGTAGCGGTGCATCCCTAAAAATGTATAGACATTTTCTCTTGAGGGTAACTGACATTTTTCTTGTCTATTCAGCACATCACAGTTAAGCAGAGAGGGCAAGAGCCTCGACCGCGACGCTGCCGTACAGATGCTACTTTATTCACATGCCCCTTCTGCACAACTGATGTATGTAAGCCAAGACAGTACCATCAAATAATGACCCATATAGCTGGCCATAAACTGAGAGCGGTTGAATATGGAGGTGAGTAGTGAGCTTAAAGTTTGTTTGGTAATACTTTATAATAATGTGGTAATACTTAACATATGTTATAAACTAACAATGAACTAATATTTTTACAGTATTCATTATCATCTTGGTTAATGTTAATTTATAAATATGCAAATACATTTTTAAAATGAAAAGTTGTATACTATATATTAACATTAATTCATTCTGTAAAAGAAAGAAATGTTCATTGTTAGTTTAATGTATGTTGATGTACATTGATTAATGTTAAAAAAAAAAAAGTTTATTACAAAGTGATATCATTTTTTCAGTTAAAGTCATTATGCAGGGAAATGTCTACTAACATTTTTTATTTATTTTTAGATTATGTTTTGTACAGCTGTAACATTGGCTGTGGTCAAAAGGCCAGACATTTTCACTGCTGCAAGTGTCCCAAGACGTATATCAATAAAAGTGATCTAAAAAGGCATCTTTGCAGTGCTCATCCAATGGCTCCAGAAACACAAGCTGTAGGTCGCTCACTACAAGCACCTTCTTTACAGCAACCTGCACCTTGTCCATTGGAATTAGCAGCTCATCCAGGGATGGCTAAAAGAAAGCAAATCTCCATGCAATGCCCTCACTGCGGGCTCAGTCTTAATTCTAAAAATTTAAAGAAACACATTGAGCGGAAGCATCATGAAGTCTTGCATCCCGTAACTTCAGTTCTACCAGCACAGTGTGTCGATAAAAAGAATGGACTATATGTTGTAGCAGAATCATTTTGTAAGTCCTGTACCCTCATCCATGTGGTAAAACATTTTTGGGGTTCATCCCACAAGGTTATGTGTGAACTGGATATTTGCAACAGTCGTGTTGAAATGGCACAAAGGAGTGAACTTTTGGTTGCACAATGTGTGCATCTAAGCTCAGTAGACTACACCTGTGCTGTTGCACCGAGTGAGGATTTATCAGAGAATGTGTTGACTGAGATGGTGGAGCGAAAATGGATTGGGGACATAAGGAAGAAACGATGCCTTAAGCTGCAACATCAGGCTAAAAGTAAAGGGGCCACATTTACTAGCCTTGTTACAATTGGAGCCCCCGACTACATGTATTATATATCAATGTATGAGCCAAAGGTGTCACATTACAGTAAACTGGGCAGAGTCTTGGTGAATTACAATGCCAAGATAAACACTTGGAATTGCCCTTGTAGCAAAGGTAGAAAATCATGTCTGCACAAGAGTATTGCAAAGTGGTGTCTCTATCAAATGAAGAAGCAGCTCTTCAAAAACCTGCCTGAAACAGAGGAAGGAATTGAACCAGCGCAACATGAGGACCTGGCTAGCCAGCAGTGCTTCCAAAAATGGGTGCCCACGTCTGGTTAGCTGAGACATCTCAGCCCAAAAGAAAAACTGATTCTGACCCACAACAAACTGACACTGCAAGTAGATTATTCTACTGATATTAGTGAACATAGACAACAAAGACAACATGAATGTAAAAAGAAGAAAATAAAGAAATCCAAAGTTCGATTATTTCAATATTGATTTAATGATTAATTGGTGACTGAGTAATCGCTGTTAATAACATCAATTAAGCTTATTAATTGTTGATTAATCAAGTTCTACACAAACATTGTGTTCATGAAATAAACTACAGCTACTATTCAGCAAAGGGGAGAACAAAGAGACTGTTAGTTTTAAAAAAAAATGCATCACCATAACAGATCCAACAGTGTTATCCCCTTTGTGTTTTTCAACTATTAGCAAAGCCAAACACACATTTATATTTGTTAATGGAGGAAGATTAGCATACATTTTAAAATATAAATGTTACAAAACAAACTGCAAATGGCTTGTTTGGCTACATTATCAGGACAGTTTAAAGCAGTCATGCTGTCACAAAGCAAAGCCAGACACAACAGGTAAGTGCAAATCAGGATGGTTTATTGACTGGGTAAGGGGATGACTGGAATAGGTGAGTTAAAGGCAGGTGAGTGTCAACACAGTGAATGGTTCCAGGGTGCTTATCTGAGTTCTGATGGTGAGGATCGGATGCCGGTTACGTTGGAGATCGTGGAACAGTTTCCAAGGAGTCGTTGGAGTATATATATACACTTCAATTTAAACACTTTAAGGGTTAAAGGGACATGCTGAGAAATGAAATTTCCTGTAATCTTTTGACATTTAAGAGGTTATCACTATAAAAGCATACTGTCAGCTCAACTCAAAACTTCCTTGTTAATCCAAAAACAGCTTTTTATTAAAACCAAGCCACTTTTTTTAAAACTTCCTTATCCTTGTAATGTCATACAGATGATTACAACAGCGCAAGACTGCTGCACAGAAACAGCAACATCCTATACTTCATCAGTTCTTTGGCTGGACCCATTGGTTCATAAGTGAGGTGATGAGGATAGACAGGAGAAATACTAAAACAAGATCACTGGACTAAAAATAGCATTACCTTCTGAAGGCTCATGTTAGGAAAAATTAGTTTCCACTATGTGAATGTCTCAGTAGAACAGCATTTGTTGTTTGGTGCATTCCACTGTGAATTCTCTTCAGTCACAAATAAACATAAGGTTTTCAAACAGGCTTTTACGGGGAGATGGACCCGTCAGTAATGCAGCATCATTTAAGCATGTCAGTTCTAATGCCTTATCTGCCATCACATTGCAAAAAAAAAATTAACAATCGGAGGCAGTTTGTAATTGTAATGTTTTTTTTGTTTGTTTTTACTTCAAAACAAGAATACAATCATTCCTTTCTGATGAAATGATGCATATTGATAGTTACGTATATTGCGTAGAAACATCCCGTTTCAAAAGGAAATACTTAAACAGTAAATGAAATTGCTTGTTAAGTGATTTAATGGGGTCTTTAATATACTGTAATAGTCAGAGGGGTTGGCATCATCTCTTCTCAGGTGTTCTGGATCCAGGCTGAGGCTTGTGTAATAAACTATGATCTCTTCAATGAGTGAAAATTACAGATTGCATTAGAACATGTATATAGTATAATGACAAGAAAGGCTCAATGTGCATAAGCAACCTATCTTAACCAAGATCTAACAACGGCTCATTTTAAGCTTCTTGACAGGTCAGTCAGGTGTTGATTTAATATCTGCTGGTATTTATTGGAATTTATGATATCATGTACAAGTTGAAGAAAATTAGCAGCACAAGCATTAAAGATCCTCCAGAGTGCTTAGTGGGGTTTAGGCACTTGTCTACATATTTCTGTTTATTCCAAACCCACCGTTATTGTTTTGTTTCCAAAAAATAATATTCTGCTCTCATTTGGCCATAAAACCCAGTCCCACTGAACCCAGTTACAGTAACGCATGGCAAACTGTAGGTACACCAAAGGCTATTTATGGCCATTTTCCCAAACAAGTTGAGCTTATAGATGAGGTCTGATCATAATTTTGAAAACTTTCTGATCCCAAGACCCAACCAGTACCTGCAAACAGAAGAAAGTCATGAAGGTTTGGAATGACATGAAGGGTGAGTAAATAATTACTTTTTTTTTTTTTTTTTAAGTTAGATTCAGTTAGATATGATTACTCTTGAGAATTTGTAGGTAAATATTTTGGATATAAACATTTAATTTATTCCACATTTCTGCATCCCTAGTCACCCTACACAGGACAAAGTGGTTTTGAGAATGGATGGACTTGGTCCACAATATTTTTTTTCGTGTAATTTTACTTGAAGTAGAGGTTTGATTTGGTGAAATTTTAATTGAAAGAAATTCACAGCCCATTTTGTTCATATTTACCAAGTGTGCCAATATAATTGGAAAAGGGTAAAAACTGGTGGTAATCAGTTATAGCATCGATAACCAAAACTATACAAACATAAATTTTAAAGGAGACATATTATGCCACTTTTTACAATATGTAATATAAGTCTCTGGTGTCCCCAGAATGTGTCTGTGAAGTTTCAGCTCAAAATACTCCACAGATCATTTATTATATCATTTTGAAAATGCCTATTTTGAGTGGAAGCAGAAACACGTTGTTTTTGGGGCCTGTCTCTTTAAATGCAAATGAGCTGCTGCTCCCCGCCCCCTTTTCCAGAATAGAGCTGCGCCATTAGAGCTCGTACCTGCTAAAAAAACATCTGTTTTGGTTCTGATTATCATGTTTATCACGCTGAAATCATGCGGTTTAAACCATATGAATTTAAACTTCTGATATATGGTTTTCTGAGCGCACACATCCGAAGCACACGGACAAAAAACGGCTGTCACAGCATGCGAGTACTAAACTAAGTTCTCATTCACACACAAGTTTATGTTAAAAACACACATGAGTTACAAAAAAACAGTCGGTTATGTCTGTGAAGGTAAACAGCTGGGAAATAAATCGCATGTTTATTTTAGATCTGTGTGGCAGCAGCAATTTATAGTAAATAAATCAATAAATCCACTGCTCTGTTGTCTCCTCTGAGGCTGGGACTCTAAACAGTGTTCTGTGCAGCCAATGACAGAACAGTTAGCATGTTTTGCTCAAACTTTCGCCATGGCATTAGAACTAGTACACCGTTGTCGCTTGCGAAATCAAATGACGGCGCCATGGGTGGAAACTTAGATTAAGGGGCGGTAATATTATAATGAGATCCCTTTGCAACGTCACCAAGGGAGTGAAATCAGACGCGTTCGTTTTCTCAGACGCTTGCAGAAAAAGGCTTACCAAAGCAAAGTTACTGGGTTAAACTTTTTCACGTTTCCTTGGTTGGTAGATGCACCGGGGACCTGATTATAGCACTTAAAACCTGGAAAAGTCAGATTTTCATGATATGTCACCTTTAACATAAAATCTTTGTTGAAAAAAAAATGTTCATGAGTCAACTACTGCATTACATTGATCGATAACTCTCATTCTCTCAGATGTCTTTCAGAGTTGTGGAAAGAATGTTGTTTTCTTTTAGGGCTGTGCCCATGTGTGTTTAGTCGGATTTAATGTAGCTCAAACAATAACACTTGTATGATCACGACTGAACTACAGGACTTGAACACTCAACACTATTAACACTCAGGTTAGTATTGTAAAAGTTTTATCAATGTACAGTCCCTACAAGTCCATTTTTATGTAAGTAGCGGGGGTGCAAAGTCATTCTATACCATAGGTGCAAAGTCATTCTATTAACACTCAGGTTAGTATTGTAAAAAAAAATTCAATTTACAGTCCCTACGAGTCTATATACCCAGTCCTGAATCAACACGAGACATCTGCGAACCTGAGTTGTGTGCACAAACGTCACACTGCACTTCCTGATGAGAAAACGTTTAAACATGTTTTCTTTGAAAGTATATACTGTAAGCTTTATACTGGTAATATATAGTATCTTAATGGGTCAAATGAAATGTACAGTTAGAATAACACATACACACATCAGTGTATGAACTCTTGGCTGGACAAATACAGTACACTTCTCTTTAATGCTATAACAGTCACATCTGAGTCCCCGACTTACAAAATAAACAACAAATACATAAATAGTTTCCCTTTCGGTAAATAAATTGTGTATTAAATACTGGCTGACCCAATAAATGGATAATACTATAGTTTATATACGCCATATACCCCACACTTAACTCAGAATGTCCAGTTCAGGTCCTTTTTGTTCGAAGCATCAGGAATTTGGTAACACTGAGTTCATTCCAGACTTCAGTAAGGCACTTAGGATTTGGTATTCGCCACCTATGAGAAATCCATAGAGCGAGCAGAGAGATCCTGAGTCCCCACAGAGAAGCTTACTTACTTCAAAGCTACTGGTGAGTCTCACTGCTGAAGGAAGCAGGGCAAAGGCGCAGTGTGTGTCTCTCTCAGTATCTTGAGTATCGTACAGTACTGTTTGCAAAATTGCATACACAGTGCTCTTTTTGCCTCTGTGTTTGGATCTCTTGCAGCCCGTTGCGTTTATAGTCCTGTGGGTCATCGCACGGGGCAGGATGTAGGTTTAACGCAGTGGCCCTCAAACAGGACCAGGCTGGCCGGACAGTGGCAGCCAGCGACACAGGGCCTTTGACAGGGTCCGATTTCGTTCCAGTTATTGCAGGTTTTAGTGCAGCCAGGTCCACATGTGTCATAAACTGCACCATGTTTGCAGTGTGTGCCTAAAAAAAGAGAAATGAACACTAGTCAAATATGAAGAAAAGACACCATCACATATTTATGTCAGCTTTTATCACATACATTTTGTCAGCTTCTTAACAAGAAATCCTAAAACATTTCAAATGTAAACGAGAGAAAACGTGTTTTGAATTTTTTAACAATATCCTAAAACTGGGCTATTCATTTTTGCTGCATCAAACAACAATAAAAACACCATATAATGAATGAGGGTTTGAGTTCCTGTTGTCGATATATATATTTGTCAGGTCTGACTTACTCATGCAGGGGAGCTCCGGTCTCCAGTGCACTCGAATGCCCTCTCTCTCACACGCTCGACTGTATGCTATAAACGACTCGCAGTAACAGTTTTTATGCACTGGACACTCACACATGTCTGTTACACATGACCTAAAGAGAGGAAGACATGGGGAGAGACAGAGATAGAATTAGTGTCAGTAGCCGGGTTTCCATCCAAAGTTGCGAATTTAACTTATGCCGAGTTCACACTGCACGATTTTCAAACTCGTCGGATCGCCGTTGTTTTCACACTGCGTGACTATCTGGGGTAGCATTCAGTTGTTGCTGTGTTCACACTGCACGATGGATCGGCGACAGGGGGTTTCACATTGCATGACTTCACAATAAGAAGAATGGCCGACAGCTCTGTCTGGTGCAGGGTTGCCAGGTTTTCGCTACAAAACCCGCCCAATTACCGTATTGGCCCGAATATAAGACGACCCTGATTATAAGACGACCCCCCTTTTTCCAGATATCCAAAACTGTTTTTTTTCTCAGTAAAACACATTTTGTCCTCAATTATTTTCAGACTTTTTTGATACGCTTGAAGGAATTTATTCGCAAAATGCATTTCCATCTCCCATTATTCGCATTAACCCTTTTTCGCACAAGTCAAAAACCACCTCAAGCGAGCGTAAAAACGTTTTTGCGAATTAAGGCATTTTTATTCGAAATTCAGCGTTTCCATCACTCGATTCTGATGCGATACTTCAAAATGCGCATAAAAGCAGGGTGGTGGAAACCCAGCTACTAGTTACGTTTCAATCCACCTATTTTTAAGCGCATTTTGGATAATCACATAAAAAAACGCTGGATGGAAACGCCAAGATGCGCATAAATTCTAAAAATGCGCATAAAAAACATACGCGCACAACTGAGTAGGATAAAGTTTTTATCCGATAAGAAAAAAGGCGCATAAACTACGATGAGGATAAACTTTTTTTATACGATAAGAAAAAATTTGCAAACTATGATGGAAACACATTTACCGAATAAATTCCACCATGCGCATTGAAAAAGTCATGTGACTTTGCGCTATGAGACGAGATAAATAGACGGACCAGCGGACCGATCTCGTTCACAGCATCTATGTGTTGTTTTGGCCGTTCTGAAATGCCTGAGGAAAGCATGTCATTACTGTCTTACATGACTGCGTTCCCAAACAGCAGGCATCCACCTCTAAAAGCAATGACCGCATTTATTGTGTTACGTCTGCCCTCTCTGAAGCGCAAGTACGTTATTACCAGTGTTGGGCAAGTTACTCTGAAAATGTAATCAAATTACTGATTACTGATTACTCCTTTTAAACGGAGTTCTGATTACTTTATTTCAAAAGTAATTAGTTACATTACTAGTTACGTTACTTTTTTATCCATTAAATTTATGAAATCCCAGCATACACGCGCCCGATAAATATTTGTTATTAAAGCATCAACATTCACGGAACACTGTTATTTTTAACTAAAGCAAGCGGCTGCTGCGTGCATGGTTTGGCATGGCAGAATGTCAGCAAAGCGCACTGCATTTATAATCTGTAAAAGACATCTCAGTTCATCGCAATCTCACAAATCTCTGTTATAACACAATAAATATATGCATAATGAATCTTTCATAATGTCTACAATTCGTGTGTTATAATGAGAGTATTCGTGAACGCAAATTTCAGCACTGCATTGCTCAACGCTGCCAACACGTGTTATTATGAAGGTAGAATGACGTCAAAAAGATTTGCATACGCAGGGTTCTAATCCACTGGCACTTGACTCGACAGTGCGTGTGCTACATCCTTTTTACAATCTCTAGGTTATAAAACACTGCATTCTGTCAGCAATGTAACGCTGCAGTAACGTATAGAGACTTCGGCTTGTAACTATACTCTAATTACTATTTTGAAAATTATAACATGTTAAATTACTCCTTACTAAAAAAGTAATCAAATTACAGTAACGCGTAAATAAGTAATGCGTTACTGCCCAAAACTGGTTATTACATATGAAAAATATTATATTCAGTGGCTTCTCCTAGTTTTCTTAGAGACATTTAGTGCTAGTTTATCAGGAAGTGACATTGGATGGAAACGGTGCTTTATTTGCAAATGTTTTATGCGATATTCCAGTTTTGTGCATAAGTTAAATTCGCATCTTTGGACGGAAACTGAAGCAGTGTTGTATGTTGAAGTGTACATCACTAACATCACCTTACTGGCACCAGTTTAATGTTTCACTACTCTACAAACACTTTAGTATTACATATTCAGTATTAAAATGCAAAAGTCTTGAACCTTTCTAGAGTAGTACAATAAAATGGCAAATGCACATTATTAATTAATTTTGATAATTGCATAAGACTGGGGAACTCACTTGTAGAAAGAGGTAAAGTCTACAGCAGAATGGCACTTCTGAAACTCCCAGGACTTGAGTTTTTGGCACGTTCTGTGTGCACAAAGCTTTACTTTGACTGTGCCGGGACAGAGGAAGGACGTGGGCCTGCGGTTCGGTGCCTGACACACCTCATTGTCCTCCACACGCCAAGACTCCGCGAATTCATCCACGTCAAACTTAATCTGGCCGTCTCCTCCTAGAGAGTCGTCCCGCCTTTGACCGTTGTAGTTTCCACACAGCCCACAGAGCTGCCCCTTCAGATGGGGTGCTGCGACTACCTCCACCAGACTGTCCCCGTCCCATGTGATCTCCAGTCCTGATGACACAGCCAAGATGAAGATTAAGGAAGAGGAAGCATGCTGCATTTGCCTGTGTTTGAGAAGACGACATATCCTGTGGTCTGACACAATCTAATTAATTTTAAACAGCATTTGAATACAATCATTTAGCAATCAAAGTAATTAAAGTACTACATGGACTATTTTTTCTTTTAAAAACTCACTTGCTACAGTGAAGGCAAAAAAGTTTTTTAAGAAAGCATGAAAAGAAATGGTGACCATTAACATACAATTTTCCTTGAACATTCAAATAAAATTTTGACCTACAATTTGGATCCTGAAAAATCTATGGACATGTTCTGCACAGCAACCCATTTATCTATTGTTCCCATTCGAAAATGTGCTTAAAAAGACATTTAATATTCAGTAATGTTATCGATTTAACTGCACTTACACTATTGGTTGAGAACAAAATTGAACTGGATAATGATATCATCATTGCAAAATCAACACAGTTATTGAACTGTAATGAATCAACACTGACCCGACTTTAGCTGAATATTGACACAATTGTCTTCTGTAGAGCGGCTTATAGCTGAATTGAACTCTTTTCAGAATTGTTGAACTTTGCAACATTGACAGTTATTGAACTGAACTGATTGAGCTGAATAATGACTATTATCTTCTGTGGAGGTGCTTTACAGCTAAAATTGAATTTGTTTCATTATTGATGTACAGTAGTTTACTGTGTATTAATGTCGAGCTTCTTCGAAACAATCTGCATTGTATAAAGCACTTTATAAATAAATGTGACTTGAGTTAAACTAACATGCTAAATTGGAAGCTAGTTTGGAAGTTATTGTCATTTGTATTGAATAATCATTTTAAACAGGCCGAACATGCTCTTTTGAAAAAGAAAGGTGTGGCAAACTTTAAACTGTAACCCTCCTATACTCTCTGTGCAAGTTGGAATGATTGATTTGAGCTGCTAGCACAAAGGTTGCTTACAGATAGAAGTCATACATACATGGGAGAGTTAATCAAATCACAATCCTGTTCCCAGTCCAAGAGTCAGCTTTGTGCAAGGCACTAGGTTGGTTCATTTTTACACTGCAAAAATCTTTTTCAGACTTGTTTCCTTCAGTTAATACACTATATCCGCAGTGCACCTTAAAGCGCCATCCCACTAGCTGACTTGACACAAATCAGTTTTGGTCAGGATGTCATACATTCTTTGATGAATAAAGTTCAAAAGAACAGCATTTATTTGAAGCCACTTTTGATTAATTTAATGTGTCCTTGCTGACTAAAAGTATTATTTTATTTCTTTCTTTTTTTTAAATCTTACCCCAAACATTTGAATAGTAATATATCACAGTTTCCACAAAATATTAAGCAGCAAAAACGGTTTTCAGCATTGATAATTATAAGAAATGTTTATTGAGCACCAAATCAGCAAGTTAGAATGGTTTCTGAAGAATCATGTGACACTGAAGACATGACTGCTAAAAATTCAGCATTTCCGTCACAGGAGTAAATTAAATTTCAAAAATTTAGAAAAAATAAAAATGGTAATATATCACAATAAAACTGTTTTTATGCATTTTTTTTAATCAAATTAATGCACAAAATTCCAAACTATTGTACCAACTGACTGACTATCTGTCAGACTCAAAATTGGTGTAATTCTTTCTTTATCCTTTCAGGGCTTGTCGTATAAAATTTCCTTGAATGGATATCTTCACTAAGAAAAAGACTTAAATTCAATAAACAGACATGATGTTGATGCTGGTATCACATAAACAGTCCTGGACCAGCAAGGAAATTCATTACTTCTGTCTCATATTTCAGATTTATTTGACAAGACAAAAAAAAAAAAAAAAAACTGAAATATGGCACCTTTGCATCTGGTTCAGATCCAAGCATGACAATAGCTTGTCAAATCCTCAGAAATTCGCTCGTCAGTAACAGTACCAGCAACAAAACAATACCTCAATGGCACTTTCGAATATATATAGTCAACAAGGTCATAAACTCACTGAGATGGAACCCACTTGCAGAGACGCAGCCACAATCGAACCCCTCTGATTCTCCAAAAGCTATGTAAATGAACCTATGATAGAAAATCCCATATCAGGATACTGGCCTTACCTGCGATGGTGGTGAGTTTGAGCAGGTATCCATCCAGGTCAATGTGGACCCCTGTGCTATGGAAGGGAAGAGCGATGCGTGTGCCATTTTGACGGACGGTCAGGTGTTGGTGGAGGCTGATGCTCAGACCTGAAGTGTGCAGCTCCACTGATTTGGTCCACGAGAAGGAGCGTGTGCGACGGGCATCGTTCTTCACCAGCACGGTGAAACTGGCCGCTGGGGAGCAGTCCTTAGTGAGCACGTATTTACACGTGCCCTGGAAGTTAAAGGTGCGGCCGTCAAAAGTGTTATAGTGAGGGTCTCCAAATACGGTACACACACCTGGCTCTGGAGTTACAAAAAGAGCAATAGAGAGGATATTTGTAGTGAAACAATTAATTTGTGTGTCATATAAATAATGCATATTTGTATGCAAACTGATGGCACACATGGAACTTATAATTTATACTTGAAAGTTGCATTGCTGAGTGTGTGAAGATCTGACCGTAGTAGTAATTGATGTAACAGAAAAGCTTATGAAAATTTGTATTTTTTTTTTTAAATACCTATTTTATTCTGTTGAAATTCACAGCAGGAACATCATGTGAGGAAGTCAACTTACTATCAGTGCAAACAGGACAGCATCCAGTTCGATTCAATATCTTGTTCTGAAAAACATTGTATAGAGACAGACTTACATAGGGAGACAAAGGAAATCAAACAGGTTTGTTGTAATATCCATAGGCAGTGCTGAGTGTAACTAGATACAAAATATTTAGGCCTTGTGTCCACCAAAGAGTTTTTGGCCATATGAAATTTTACCCAGGCACTTAAAAGCCCAGCTGGGGAGCTTGAGAGTGCTTTCTCTTCAGGTAAACTTTCTCTCCAGTATGTATATAATACATTATGTCTAAAACATATGACTATAAAGTACAGACGACTTCAGATAAAACTGTGGTTCGGTGTCTTTATGAGCTTTGTAAAACAAAACTTACTGAGGGACAGCTGGTAATAGGAACACAAATCTTAGGCTGACATTCAATATTCCCCTTAACACAGGTGCACAGAGAACAGTTAGCAGACGACCATCTGTCACCATCCTAAACCAGGAAGAGACAAAGTTATTACACTCATTCTCCTCTGATATATACGCATGCATTTTTCGACTAGTTGTCCACATGTGTTTATTTGTCCCTGTTCTTGGATGCCTCACTCTATAGATTTTGCTCTTCACCCTGCAGTACTTCACATCTTCCATCTTCAGATGAGACTGGCACTCTTCACAGCACGCACTGCCATGACAGCTGCCAGGCGGTGAGCATCTCTTCCTGCACTGCACCGTAGAGTCCACACATGTGCAGGTGGTGCAGTTGTCATGGCTGATGGATGTACCGTTCTCGTAGACCTCACTGTGGAACAGACAGCTGCCAGGCGACAAGTCAAACACCCTCCTTTGACCTAGAGAAGACAAACAAGACCCTGTCATTTTACATTTCTCATGAAAGCGGTCTTTTCTGAAGATCCAGAATTTCTTTTAAAAAACTGCATCAATAACAGTTTAATGGGATATTAAAAGTGATAATGTCATATGAGTAATACTGCCAGCTGTGTCTTTAGGAGCTTTTAGTGTCCTCTTATAGCCATAGACTTTCTAACGTAATAAAACTATTTCTTCTCTATAACTTTTGTGAGAGCTCTTTTGACTTGGGCTTGTTTGCTACACAACTTTAGCATTTGCATGGGCTAAATGTATGTATCTCTAACAGCTTAAGCCAATTAAGATTTGTTATGGAGTTTCAAGGGCTTAATTGTAATTAAATCATAATTCTGTACCCTACCATGCAAATAAGTGACTTAAAAACAGCGGTGCTGAATAGGGGTTGAATAATTATGACAGCTGTATTACAAAAAAATATGACATTATATGTTTACAATGTGTTGTACCAGAAAACTTTTGAGGCAAATTAAGACAAAACAACATCATCAAGAGGAATAAAATGTTTGATCAGAGCAACTGAGAAAACCCCTCAATTTACTGCCAAAGATGAGCTGATGAAAGGAGGAAACATTTCAATAGTGTTCTTCTTTCAGAGTATAAGTAGAACACTAAACAAGCATGGCCTTCATGTTGGGACACCACTCTTGATCAAGAAGAACATAAAAGGCTGACTTGAATATGCTAAAATAATTTGGATAGCTCTGTGGAGTTAAAGAAGAATGTTTTATGGATTTATTATCAGTGGTATGTCTGGTGCAAAAAAAGGCAAAACTTATGAGCAGAAGAACACTATCCCTACAGTCAAACATGGAGGTGGACCAGGCTTTACGTTACAAAAGTGGAAAGTTGATTTTTTGAAGTATCAGGCCATTTTGGCAAAAAATGTGATGCCTTCTGTAAATGGACTGAAGCTTGATGACCATTGGACTTTCCAGCAGGATGATCATCCCAAAGTACATATCTAAATCTACTGAAGCTTGGTTAGGGCATCAGTCATAGAATGTTCTTCAGTGGCCTGTTCAGTCTTCAGATTTAAATCTCTTTAAAAATATTTTGTGCAATTTGAAGAAAGCAGTGGCAGCATGGAAACCAAGTTTCTGTCATGACAACTCTTGGAGGGATTGGCATGGTAATGTACATGACAATGTTAATGTATTTGGTCTTGGCGGAATATATCTGCTATGCTGCTGCTGCTGCTGCTGCTGCAGAGCAAGTACCGAGACTTGCTACTGCCAATACATCCACAACATGCTGCTGTGAGCATGTAAGAAATATTGCTGCTGCAAATATAAAATACATGAAATAACCCCCATATAGCATACATGCATCACCTCGTAGCAGATCTATACAGGTGGAGCTGAGGAAGGTGGAGGGTTTCTGAAGCAAGCTGCAACTGCTACGGCAAGCACTAGTCATATATTTGAATGTTGAGCAGCGAGCTCATTGGCTACCGATACAGGAGAGAACCAATCGCTGTGCCATATGATAATGATGTCATTAGGTCAGATTGAGTTAGACCTATCGGACTGCGCCATCTAGAGTTTCATGCCAGAACTCTGTATATTATCAGTGATCTGGAAGCTTTCTCAAGCTTTTTCAAAGAATGGGCTAAGATTCCAGCAGAGATGTGTTAGAAGCTTGTAAGCACTTAGAGGCAATGTTTATTGGAGGTTATAAAGAACAAAAGATTCTCTACAAAATGTAACATTTGGGGGTTGAATAATTTTGTACATTAATGAGCCAATTCAATTTTTTTCATTTTTCACTAACGTTATGTACTCAGAATCGTATTTAAATACATCATCCTGATGAATGACTAAATTTCTGATATGAATTCTTATATAGTAATTGGATTGTTTGCCACATGTGCAATGTGGGGAAAATAGCTAATAATAAAGTCAGTGTGTATGATATTTGTCATTGTGAAAGTCTCAAGTCTGTACTTAGATTCTAAGTTTCTTTAAGTGTCTTGATTTTTTTTTACCCCAAAAGAAGAAAATAACTTACCACGACATCTAGGACAGCACTGGCCAGGTGGAGTGTGGGTGAGATGAGATGGGCAGGACAGAACAGGACACACCAATTTATGACACATGCTTTGCCCTCCCTGAAAAACACACACATGATTATACAAAACATATATCTTTGTGTTAAAGGCACAATAATTAACTCGATAATAAATAGCTTGCTGACTTTTCTATTTATTGACATGACATGGTTAGATATAGATAATATGATTTATTAAGTTGGGCGTTGATAATATTGATGATAATACGCAGCACCTGAAAATAGTTCCCAGCACACTCCCTGTGTAAGCAGGTGGTCACGTTGGTTATGTTGACGGAAGTTAGCCTATTTTCAGGTGCTGCGTAATATCATTGCGCCTGCTGCACCCATAGTACGGCAGCAAAGTTCCTTGATTATTACGCTGGAATGAGAGTATAGTTCTTAGCCATATCGGCCTAGAAAATCGCAACTTTTCATTTTCCGTCGGTCTTAGTACACGATGTAACTACAGAAGAGTCAAGTTTTAAATAGGAAAAATATAGAAACTCTTTGGTCATTTTTGAGCGAGATGCTAACGGTCTAATCAGATTCAATGATCTATGCTAAGCTACAGCTAAAAGTATACTCGAAAACGGTAAAACTCAACTGTTTAACTCTAGGGGAGTTGGAAAATTAGCCTATTTTCAAAAATAGTGGAGTGTTCCTTTAAGGTGTGTCTTTAGCCCCACTGTACCCTATTAGTAATATAATTATTATTATTATTGTGAATGTTCAAATACTAAATATTTGCCATCGGAGATGGGCTGCTATTGTTTGGTCATAGTAAAGTGCCCCAGAGCTTTTTGTTGTCACTCAAGTGTTTGAAGTGTTTAGCAGATAAACTCACAGTGCAGATGCATTTAATACAGGGATTCCCTTCAGGATGAAATTCTTCGTCTTCTTTATATAAATTCCCCTCGAAAATACACCCTGTGAACATCCAAAATATGAACAAGCACTAGGTTGAGAATCTGGCTGATTAGCAGAGATATTCACATACACCTAGACAAACAACTAAGTTTTGCGAGTAGTGAGGAAATGTTGTGCACATCAATATCTAGAATAGGGGCAAAATCACTGTATAAGAAAATAACAGACACACACACACACACACACACACACACACACACACATATTAACACTGACTGACCTGGGCAAGTCGGGCAGCATTTAGTTGGATGGATTTTGGGATTCTTACAGTGAATGACACACCTCATTTCTGCTTCAGTGATGACACCTTCCTGTCCAAAGAAAAAGTTTACTTTCAGATTTATATTGGTAGGTGGTTTCTTGTTATGGTAACTTAAAAACAAGAAAATGCAGATATTGTGCATGAGGTGAGGTAGGAGGTACTCCAGTACTATTTCATCTACATTATTATTACTAGGTTCTTTTTCCCATTTGACAAACATTCTCATTTAAACCAGTAGTTTATTAAAGCAGTCAGCTTGCTTCATTACTTGTTCATTTGTGCAGTCCTGTTTTTCTCATTCGGTTTATTCTACTACTAGACTACATGTACATGTCTTACAGCTGGTAACTTTAACAGAGTAAATCCACTCTGCGCAGTCAGTGTTTAATGTTTCAATGAGACTGACCCACCTGACAGCTGTATGTGACACAGGGTTTCACAGGGCTGATCCAGTGATGGGAACTGTTGTAGGACGTCCCTTTTAGCTGACAACCTGCAGAGAGAGAGAGGGGAAATACTCAGATCAAATTATTTCAAGCCATGTACACTTAAAAAAAAATGGTGTAGGATTTACTTTGAAACAATTTTCGCTCAGAAATTGCTAGTAAAGTGTCTACACAGAAACAGCAAGTTACATATTAAATTAACCATGAAGTAGAAAGACTGTATTATAACAGTATTTCCAATTATCTGTTTTATTTACAACTTATAAAAATCATTTTTTACAGTGTAACCAGAAAATCTGAGTCATCATTGTTCACTGGCTTTTATATTAAAAATAGGCTGAACATCATCTGCAGATTATTGATTGATTATAAGTTTATTATATTGATTACAGGTTCTTATTAGAAGAATGTCAGATGTTCTAAGGAAACCCATTTGCCCAGCAGCCCTGCAATCAAATAAAACTGAAAAAGAGGGAAAATCAAGACCTCAGCTGTAAAGAATCATGGCGTCTCTCAACCATAAGGTGGCAGTGATGTTAAACATAGCAAAACTATACATTATGACTAAAGAACTAAAGACGTTTGTGAGCCCAGATATAATAAATAATAATCCGATAACATACTTTTGAGTTATTTCTCTTAGATCAGTTCTTCAGGAGGTTTGAACTGACCTTTGCATCTTTCACAGCAGGCTCCTGTCTGTTTGACCACCAGCGCACAGTCCTCTGCCAGCGGTGAACACTTCTCCTGCTTGCAGTCTGCTTTCTGATTCTATTGATAAAAAGAAATAATTAAAGGACAATCCCATATCATTCAGTACTGTGTGTAATAATTGTACTTGTTGACAATGTGACAAGGATAAAACCATGAAATTTAGTACGGGATGTGATCTGCTTTCTTCATAGATCAGCTTAATTCAATCACGTTTAGTTCATGACATCCCCATCAACAGCAGACAAATGCATGTAGTACATAAAGAGTAGCATCATCTTTCAGAGATAAAACTTCCTGTATTGATTTCTATTCATCAACTCGCATGCTACAAAATCAATCCGAGACATTCATCAACCCAACGTATCAGCTCGCATGCACTAACCTTGTGAAAGGCACATTGTTTGACTCTTGATGCTTAACATAATGTTCTCATATCATTCTCTTTATAATGGATAGCAGACACATAACATAGACCCATGCTGATTTTTGGGATCAGGACAGGGGTAGATGTGGATTACAGTAATTCCAATTTATCAATAATGTCCATCTAAATTTATTACATTGGACATATGCAGCATTTACAGTTCTCACTACAAAGTCAGCACTGCAAATTTAACCACAGAGCGAATGACATCCTGTAATTTTCCCTTTGAACAACATGTAAATTATGAAGCTGCACTGAGTACATTATTACATTTACATTTAGTCATTTAGCAGACGCTTTTATCCAAAGCGACTTACAAATGAGGACAATAAAAGCAGTCAAAACTAACAAAAGAGCAACAATATATAAGTGCAAATGACAAGTCTCGGTTAGCCTAACACAGTACACGTAGCAAGTTGTATATGTATATATATATATATATATATATTATACACACACACACACACACATATACACACACACAAAGAAAAACAAGTAGATAGAATAGAAAAAATAGAAAGCTAGTGTTATTATTGTTGTTATATCGAAGACTGCATGTATATTCTTATATTATTTACTTGTGGTGACAGAACTTCCTTTCTTAAAAAATATATTTCATATAGGCTATCTCTTGTATAATATGCGACTTATTATTGAATATCTGTATCTCTTCTACAGTCATTCTATTCTGTATGACCCTTGTGTTAAAAGTTCCTGAAAGCTCACAAAATCTCTCCGCACTGCTGCCTTACAACAGAAATTGACTGTTAAAATTAGTCATGTGAAATCTGCAAAGTGCGCTATAAACATTTCACGGTTTTCTCACCAGACAGACGCAGGAGATGCAGGGGTTGTCTGTGATGTTGGGGATGTGTAACACTTCTCCCTCGTTTTCACAGCTAGCCTCCGTACCTGAAGGAAAAACGAAAAATAATCATATTTATATATTTACATGAGATATTCCCTATAAACATTTTATTCGACCATACAAACAGCAATTAAAGCCTGCAAATAACCAAATCCCTTTAAGATGAGTGAATAAGGGTGTCCAAACTGCTCTTGCTTAGTTTAAGTAGAGTTTACAAAATATACCGGAATGTAGGCCACACTTCATTTTACAGTGTTACTCTATATGTAAGTGATTACCGAGTAATACTAGTTAAACTAACGAACGACACACTTACTGGCACTTATTTTATGGAGCTACTTCTGCTACATATTGTTATTACTATACTGATTAACAATTGCATGACTAATGCAACGGACACTGTAAAATAATTATTCATATATGACTCTTATAGGAGTCACCGGACTACACAGCTAAAATCTTTTCACCAACCTTTTATTAATAATTTTCGAATCTAAATACTACTAAAGTAACGTAAAAACTGCGTTAAAGCTTGTTTTGACATTATAAATCGTGCTGTTTTGAAATGATAAAAATATCAAAACCAACCAGATTTCGAATAGGCCTATACATCTTAATGAAACTAATTTGATGTCTAATATTCGATGTTTTATGCAGAAATGTTTATATGATTTGATTAGTTATGAATGACCATTTATGAATCTTACCGGTGATTAAAGGTGCAGTTAAATGTGGCGTTTGGAGAATTAAAAACCAGAATAACAGGTTGTAGGTTACTGGAGGAGACAGACACAGCATCCTAAATTCGCTCCAGACGCACGGGGGGAAAGAGAAAAAATGAATAAATCGAGTATCCAAAGCCTGTAGAAATGGGTTTCGTTAAGATCCAGAGAGAGGGGGACATGGGTGTCATGAGGGAGTCGATCCGCGGTGGACAATCAGCTCAACATTATAACGACAAAAAGGGTCCAAAAACACGTCAACGGCGAGGCAACTTTCCGAAGATCCAGGTTTGCAGGTCACAAACTCCACAAAGAGTTTAAAACAGAGATAAGATCCAGAGGTCTTCTGGAGACAAGCGCGTGGAGAGATGACACTGCCATGATCCAAACAGAGATATCCAGTCTTTGGTCAGAGCGCGCTGGTTTGGTCTCCGGTTCCTCTCTTGACAGACACAAGGATGCGCACTGCTGGTCATTTCTGGCGACGCCGATAGCCTACTCATCCAGCTCCAGAGCTACAGTTAAACATTCCCGCGGCGCAGGACCGTCCTCCAGTCCACGCAGATAGCTGCCCCTCTCTATTTAAACGCACGTGTGTGTTTATAATCCCGCAGATCTGCCGTATGCTGAGGTGTAGTGAGATCCGCCCCTATCTGTACCCTCAACATATCAGCATTCAGCATGGGCACACTCGTGTAACTTTCTCACCAAACAAGAATTTCAGCCTATTGTAAAGGCACTGAAGATGGATAGGAACATGCCTTTTGCATGTAATTCTCAATCTTAGAATAACAATGACTTCATTCATTGACCATTATCCAAAGTAGGTGCCAAGTGTCTTCAGAAATCCAAAGTATCTACGTGGATTGTTCCATCTGCAGTTCAAAGATCAGATTAATACCTATAGATATGAGGCTCAAACAGACCTGTTCTACTTACATTTGAAGAATGATATGTCCTGAGACTAATTGCTTCTAAGGTAGAGGTTCTTCTGAATACCAAGACAGGGCTCTCAGGGAATCAATTTATTCCTTTAATATTAGTCACTAGATAGCGCCAAAGAGCACTTTTACTGGAGATCTTGCAGCCTGGTGACTAGTGGTCTTGGAAATTCAACTCACCTGACACTGACAATCCCTTTTGCCAAGCCCAAACAGTTAGGGGTTTGGCAAATCTTATTTAGATCCAATTATAAGTACTTTTAATTGGATTAATAATCAACAGTGAGTGATAAACCATCCACGGTCACTTGATAGGACATAGATGATGCTAGCATATGGTGTGAGGAGCTTATGTTATTATTTTTTAAGTTTGTAAAGATATAATGTGAATGTTGAGGAGACATCTGATCTGCAGTGTGTTGTGATTAAATAGGACCATCCACCTGTCATGTCTTGCTGTACCTTTGCCCTACACCTTATTGTGAACGATTCGATGTCATTACTCAGTCTTCTGGTGAAACAACCTCTCTGGTGACCTATGTCGGATTTCTCCAATCATTTAGTTCACTTAAACCCTGCCCCACTCCATCCAATCAACAAACAATGAATAAATCAAGTCCCCACCCAACATCTTTTTTTTTTTCAGAAAAGATCTACCATTACTTCCATTAAATTGTAACTAACTCTTCAAAGCTATTTGCAGTGAAGAAACTATCTAGACACAGGTTGCAATTTTAGTCAGTTGTTTCTGTTGCAATTATCTTTAGACTATATCTATTGCAATAACAAAACCACCATTGTCTGTATTCGGAGTCAAAAGTAAATGAAAACATAATTTAGATGTAAAGGCCTGTTCACACCAAGACAAATATTCGGTGCGATAAATATTTTAATTCAAATTAACGGCTGTTAATGCATCTGTTCAGACCGGCAGGAACATTCACATACCATTAATACTACAAATTTTACTGAGAGGTGTTCCAATCTTTTTTTCCATTTTACTGCAAATGAAACTGGTCAACCAATAAGATTTGTGCTTTTAGTCATGTGTCCAGAGACACTGCTGTTACATAAAACCAGGGTATTTCTGCTTTTTTTTCTAAGCGCCACCTACTGTCAGAGAGTTAACCAGCATTTTCATTCAGCCCGTCTGCTGTTTATTACGCATTGGTATTAAGAGACAAATCAAATATGAAAATTGCACTGCATTTTCATGTTGAACATTTGTGTTGGTGTGAACAAACCTTAATTCTATATAATCTGGAAAAATCTATATAATCATCTGGAAAACCAGCCACCTATACAACTTCATTTGACTTGTCTTACCACTCCACGGTCTCTCTTTTATGCAAGCTAGGGCCCTGTCCCAAATGGCATGCTTCACATGCATTCGCGGTCTTGCAGACTTACAATGGCCGCCACGTGCGCGTGTCCGTTAAGTCCACGAGACCGCAGGGTGTCCCATTCGACATTTTAGCTTTCAGAAGGGTGCTAGCGAGCGCCCCCTTTGCAGCCGCTATGCGCCCTCGATGCGCACTTCTGCTGAGCCCGCACTGGGGCGAGGTCCGCAGCAGGATTCTACCCAACAGTCAAAGCGGCATTACGTCACGAAAGTGTGGACTCAGAGGAAGACCACGAGGGTGCGATTTGGGACAGGGCCTAGAATAGTTATTGGCACGTCTCAAAATGGATACTTGCATGGGTTAAAATGGCATTAGAGGACAAGTTACTAGTTTAACCCAAAGTATAGTTTAGTTTTTATGCGTACACTAGGTTATGCGCACAGTGCACGTGATGTAAATTTCGCCATCAGCATAGTATGCGCATACAGTCCGATCTTTCTAACTGTGTGGACATTTCCCAATCAGTGGCCATTTTTCAACCACTTTACCCTATTTGCTTTAACCCACTAGGTGCTAAGTTTAGTTGTGGGGCTTAGTAATTTTAGCAAGCTGGGCAAAGCTGTGGAAAAAATATCCGAAATTGCATACTCTTTGAGTTGGTACTTTTTTTTTATATGTACTTAAGTGAAAGTGATGTGACGTGTGGCCAAGTATGGTAACCCATACTCAGAATTTGTGCTTTGCATTTAACCCATCCAAGTGCGCGCGCACACACACACACACACACACACGGAGCAGTGTACGTATTACATACTTTAACTTAAACATATTTAATAAAAAGCACTTGAAGTACAGTATACTTCTTTTTTGTAAGCGTAGATTGCGCACACACACACACACACACACACACACACACACACACACACACACACACACCTGGAGCAGTGGGCAGCTGTTTTTGCCAGTAGCCCCTCACTGCAGAACAAAGATCCAGAGGGCGGGGTTGGATCCACATCTAGGGGGTGGAGATGGTAGGTTTGGGGGTTGAGATGGGTGGGTTTAGGGATCAGGGGGTGGAGACGGGTAGGTTTAGGTACATGTAAGGTGGGAGGAGTTGGATCTGGATCCAACCTCGCCGCCTGGATCTTGTGTTCTGCAGTGAGGACCATCTCGTTTTTGCTTCGGCGCCCAAGGGTTTGGTGCCTTGCTCAAAGGCACCTCAGTCGTGGGTACTGAGTGTGGAAGAGAACACTGTACATTCACTCCCCACATCTACATTTCCTGCTGGTACTGAGACTCGAACTCACGACCTTCGGGTTACAAGTCCAACTCTATTGGTTAATTGCCATATCACTTCTATGTTGAGCTCTGCTGAACTTTGATGCATCGCTAACAGTCGCTGCTGCTTGTGTCGCCAGAAATTGCCACTCTCACTGAAAAGGAATGTAGTCAAATTGCAGTCAATGTGAAGCCCCTTAACCAGTTATCATTATGAAGACAACAACTAAAAAATATTATTTTGGTTTTACAAGTTGAAAATAGCTAAACTGAAATCGGTTCAAAGTACCCCCGGTTAGAAATCACTGCTCTAGTCTGTAGTATGATTTACACTGACTATGTATAGATGTGGGATATATGACTCATTTCTTCCCACTAATAGCCACACAGATCAGCACTGTAAGGAGTTGATGATTTTGTATGGAAGGTAGACATTATTATCTAGACAAATGGCCCTATCAAGTTGCCAAAATGAGGCAACATAATACAGAAACAATGCATGCAAAACCACAAAAAACTCCATTAAACATCTAATCTTGGTCCACCCACACCCACAAAAGGGTTTACCATCTCATTGGAGCATTTGTACATTTTAATATTTGTAAGTTATATTATTGAGTGACATTTTTATTGCCTCATTTGACAGTGTAATCGATTTACAGGAGAGATTGATCTCTCTAATGCTTCAGGTTTAAAGGGAAATGTTTCCTCGGAATACATAGCTGGTACCAAAAGATCACATTAAAATCTATATAACAAA